CGTCGTCCCTGTTAAAAACTATTATATATATATATATATAAACACGATCGTCGTTGTTGCTGTTTCCAAAATTCTCGTGCGTGCTCGTCGCGTTTCGCGTGTGCTTGTGCAGCTGCATGTAAATACCCAACATCGCTCATATTTGCACGATCGATGCCGAATGACTCAGGTAGCTCAACGCAACAACTTCTCACCGGGAGGCGTTCTCGTTTTATATTTTATTCAGAGACATCGAGCCCGACAAACGAGCGTTCGTCTCCATGGAGTTTCGAATTCGACCGAGAATTACTACCGAGATCGACGTATCCAACTATTATTGCATCTACTCGTTATAGTTTCGATCACAAGTATCAATCTTGATATCTTTTACTCGCATAAATAATTTTCATAGGTTATCTTGAAAAATTTGATTCAAGTGAAAATTTGCAATTTATTCTTCGAAAATGGAAAATCTCTTCTCGTGAAATTTATCTTCAAATTTTCATCATTCGAAATATCAATATTTTAAGGATTGATTTTACTCCCTCCAAAATGATATTCCATTAATAAAAATATTACTCTATATGTTATAATACATTATACACATACTGGGCAAATTTTCATAAAGACGAGTGATTGTACATCAGAGTTATTTTTCTAAACTATTATTTATCGTACACAAAATAAATAAATCTCAAAATTTCACTTTAATTCTTACCTCATTCAAATCCTTTCCTCTAAATTATATCCAAACAATCTGTTAAATCCTCAAAATCCACTACCAATCTATCGAATATAACTTCATCTATCGACGTATAACTTCATCTCCGTTCTCCATCGCGATCGAGTTACTATTTTTGCAGAGGATCCACCGTTTCATAATACCTCCTTCAGAGTCTCGTTCCACTTTCTTTTTAATCCTCCCTGATCGCGAGCGCACGCACTTGTACATCGTCGAATAAGAGATGGGCCAGTTTTTCCCTTCCCTTCCCTTCGCTATCGTCGAGTTTCCCTCCCCCTCGTTCGCATTTCTCCACGCCCGATCGAAAAAAAAGGGTTGTAACGTCCCTGATTTATGGACGCGAGTTTCCTTTCGTCCGCCAACGACGCAGAACCGATCTTATTTCGTATCTCCGAACGATATCGCCGGACCGTGTATCGATGTCGCATCGGCGGCGGAATAAAAGATTACAGGCTCATAAAAGGGCGCGCCACAGGAAGCGGGAGTCGCGGCGGTATGGTAATCGTATGGATTCGATCGAAAGTCTAGGAAGATCGTGGAGATTCGGGAAGGAATTCTAATTCTCCTTTTAGACTCCGATACACTCACTGTATTCATCCGTGAACCGTTCTAACTGTTTTGCAATTCCTTCTTTCGAATAGAATTTCTAAAGGAAATGGTGGCAAGGGTGGAAAAAGGAGCACGGTTTCTTCTCCTGTTTCCCTTCTCTACGTAAAAATTTAAACGGCTAGCGGGAAGTTTAGTGACATCTCGCGAATAGGGAGGTGGAGATCATCCAACTCGTTTCGCTCGCGTTTATCTCGCGATTATTACGATTTCGGGAAGAATTATCGCCTCCGCCTCTGTGAGAGATCGCGGTGGATGTAGAGTATATCCGGGTGCGAGGATAGAACGCAACGAGTCTCGTTCGTGAGAGAGTGTTAAAGTTTAATAAAACGCGGGTGAATAAGGCCGTGGTGTGGAGAGGTCGGAGGGGCGATTTAGAACGAGCGTGCGATATCGCGACGATCTCGGTGCACACTCGGCGCGCACCGTTGTCATTGACATGTCGGCAGCATGCAGCTCCGCTGCACAAAGGAACCATAAAGTATCCTAAGAAGTACGCTTGCGAGCAGGCACGAAAGTACCGTCCTTCGTCATCTTTATCTTCCTCCTCGTATCCTAAAGAGGAGAGAAAGAGAGAGAGAGAGAGAGAGAGAGAGAGAGAGAGAGAGAGAGAGAGAACGTATGTGTGAGCACCTTACTTAACGATCCTCTTTCACTCACCCGTTCTTTTATTTTTCACTTCCTCTCCTTTATATCCCCCTTTTCCTTTTTTTTCCCCCCCTTCTACTTTTTTAACTCACCGAATCTCTGAAAAGCTTCTTCGATTCTCTCAAGTTATTGATTTAATTCCTCTTTAACGGATAGTCGGCGCGTGTTCCCTTTCACCGTCTGTGCACGCTTTAAGATAAATTGACGATTATCGAAAGAACTGACTGGCTAGGCGCGCTATGGAAGTGCACGAGAAGTTCAAGGTACTTAATGCTCGGTTATTGCAGAAGTTTGGTGAAAAATTGCTCCACGATAAGGAATCTCCGTTTTCCCTGTCGACGGGAAACGGGTCCAGAACGATCCATGATATAACGAAGATCGAAACGCGCGTTTTACGATGAAAAGTTTTTCAGCGTTGCGACGAATTTGAGGGTGAGAGAAAAAGAAGCTTGAAAAGATAGTTCTCTCTCTCTCTCTCTCTCTCTCTCTCTCTCTCTCTCTCTCTCTTCTCTCTCTCTCTCTTCTCTTCTCTATTTTTTTCTCGTCGAACCATCATTTTATATATATATATATTATTACAATTATTACGTTTCTTTTCCCCCATCGATCTTTCGTCATTGATAAAAATGAAAGGTAAAAGACAACAACGACTGAAAGAGCGAGCAAGAAAACGACGATTATTATTGCGACCAAGTTATTTGCTCAGTGCCCCCCTCCCCCCCAACTTAAGGCGCTTGAAAGGTGTGTGAGAGAATGTGTACGTGTGTTGTACGTGTGTCACGAGGTCCCTAACGGTTATATTTACACTCGAAGCACTCGAAGCTGTCACTCTTACGTTACGATTTACCTTTAACGTTCTACGGTGGCGACGATTAAACACTAAATATACATAGGTAAAGTTTTTCCCGATCGTTGTCAGATGCTACACGCGTGTGTCCAGAGAGTGAGAGGAGCTTTTCGTTGAACAATCTCTTCTTAAAGACGAATTTTCGTTTTGTCACGAGGTAAAGGAGATATATATTATAAAGGCTCGAAATATGTGTATATACGTGTGTGTATGTATACGTGTGTAAATCAAAAATATATATATATATATATATATGTATATTTTGCAAGCGTTCTATACACGTTACGGTCTCGAGGATCGTTCGAATTAAAATGGGGAGTGAAAAATAAGGGAGAGGGGGGTGTCGTGAAATTCTCAACGAACAGCCTTCTCCTCAACGAAAGCTCGCGTAAATTTGTCTCTGCCTTCGTCCCTTCGTTTGTTCAATCGATTTACTTTATTATTTAGTTTTTCTTAATATATCACAATGTGGTCGGTTTCTCTCCATTCTCGCTTCGTGAAACACCGTGTCTATCTATTTACCATTATTCCTCGCGTTATTTCTCTTTTTTTTCTTTTTTTTTTCTTTTTTTTTTTTTTTCTTTTTTAATCTTCATCATTTACGTACACATGTATTTAATTATTGTTGTCTCATCCCTGTATTGTCGATTCCTTACGTCGGTTAAATCCCTCGATTTCTTTTTTTTTTCNTTTTTTTTTTTTCCTCGTTGCATGAAGGCGATGTCGGTAGTGATAGAGAAATAAAGTTGGGCTTATACAATATATATCGTTATATTATTACGCTTAAAAACCGCCGACGCACGATAATTACCGCGTTATCTTTTGTTGTATTTATATATCTATTTATAATATATATATATATATTTTTTTTTTCTTCTTTCCTCCCTCGCATATACATATGTATATATATATACGCGTGTATGTATAATACGTATATAAATTAAAAATCCGTTTACGGGGCGCTATATGCCGCGATATATAATAAATAATACGACGAAATACGCGCGCATGCGCGCGTGTACACGCGCCTATCTGCGCGTATTACATAGCACAATATCGGGATATTCAATTATTTATTTGACGTCAGTCTTGTGTGTGAGGCGGGGATCGAAGCTCGCTAACGTTCTCCATCTCCCCACAAATCTTTTCTCCCTTCCCTCCTCCCCGAAGCCTGTACCTTTCTTACCTTCCCCCCTTAAACGGCTACCGTTCGATATCACCGCGTCGATCTTCCACGCGTTGCCGTCTCTCCTTTCTCTCCAACCTCGTTCCTGTGCCACGACAATACCTGACGTCCCTTTTTTTTTCCTTTTCTTCTTCTTCTTCTTTTTTTTCCAGTCACCTGAATTATTATACTCCGCACTACCGGAGACAATTAACCGGTAATTAATTATTATCGGTCGCGAGTTCGAAGTCTCGCGTCAAGTCGAATAAATATCTTATCGGAACCAAGAAAAGAAAAAAAGAAAAGAAAAAGAAGAAGAAAAGCGAAAGTGAAGAGTTACTTGCTCCGTTTCTTCTTCTTCTTCTTCTTCTTCCTCTTCTTCTTCTTCTTCTTCTTAGTCCAACGGCTCTTCTCTTTTATTTTTTTTTTTAACCCCTCTCGTTTTATCGCTCGCCACGAATCGATAGCGAGCTCGATCCGCTCGCACATGCGCGCCGTACAGACGAAACCATTAAACCACGCGCGACTCCTTCTGGAAATCCTTCCCTCGCAGATCGGTTTCCCTTCCTTCCTTCCTTCCTTATCGCGGCTACTGTTATATTTTTTCTTTTCTTTTCTTTTCTTTTCTTCCTTTCTATTTCTTTCTTTTCCAGCGCGGAAACGCGCGCCACGCGAGTCGCAATTTCTTCTGGATTCCCTTCCCCTCCTCGTAAGGAGGAACGCGGCAGCCTCCCTGCTAACGAAGCTGCTAACGCGGCTCGCGCTTTTTACCGACGCGGAAGAAATGTGGCAGCGGGCGGAAAAACACGTTGGAAAGAACACGCGAGGCAGTATCAACGAAAAATATGACTCTCTTTACCTTTACTCTTCCCCCTCCTCCCTCTCCCTTTTTTTTACCCACCCCTCCACCCCGTTTCCTTCCGCTCCCTGGGAACTTCTGAACCTTGTGTAACTCACTCCGAGTTTGGAATTTAGGAAAGGGGGTGGAGAAAAGGTTGCGGGATAACTTTTTCGCGCGTGTTTCCCCAGCCGGGGGAGTGGGGGGAGGGAAGAGTTCATCTCGGCGGAAAAGAAGAGAAAGGTTGTTTGAGAAACGTTGCTCTTTTTTTTTCTTTTTTTTTTTTTTTTTTTTTTTTTGGAAAAAGAAAGTTTCGACGAAAATTGTGACGTGACCGTGAAATCGAAGCCTCGTTATCCCCTAACAAGTGTATAAAAAATTCGCAGTAGATCGATTCGAACACGATTGAATTATTGCAAGAGTTTGCATATCGAGCAAATGGCAACCGCTTCTTGCGTGAAAGGATTCGTGATTAAAAACGTAATGATTTTTTCTTTTCCCAAAAGAACGGGATGTATTTTTGGAAATCTTGTAGAAATTTAAATTCTCCATAAGAAAATATTATATTTTATCGTATCGTGATTACGTTGCGGAAGATTATTTGTGATCGATATTTTTAATCAACTCATAAAATTACGAAGAATCTTGCTGTGATTGGACAAAGGATTAGTTTTTTCTCACGAATCCTCGATGATATTTTTTCCATCAACGCTCTTCCCTCCTTGGTTAAAATATTCCTATCTAGAATTATCTGGAACCACATCCACGAGGTCCTCTCGAAATGAAATTACAAAGCTCTGGAAAAAGACGTAGCCTAAATCTATCCTATAGAAAAAATGTGACGGCCATTTCGAAATTTCTAGATCGGAAATTTCAACCGATTCGGGGAATATTCGCTCGATATGCATCGATTCCGCGCCCGCTCTATGATCATGATCATTTCTTGGTCGCGAACCCTGTTAAAATTGGCAGAAAATAGAGATGGCACATCGGCACATCGTTTCTACGAGGCTTTGATTTCCACGCAGGTTGAAAGCGGGAGAAGAAGGCCTGTTGTCAGGCGAGCAGTTTCCGAATTTCCAGAGAGGAGTCGTCTCTCGGCAGCGCGTCGCCGTTAAACTGATATGCCAATTGTAGTTACAACTCCGGTTACGCGTCCCCTACCTACCTACCTACCTACCTACCTACCTATCTACCTACTACGAGTAGGTTGAGTCGTCCTCTTGTGCGCGCCCCACTCGAGGGTGTACGCCTCTACTCTACTACACGAGGGTATATAATACGCTTGGAAAGTGCGCGAATGGCAGTGCTCGTCGAGAAAGATTTTTCCATGAGATCGAGAACCGAGTTGGCTGTATATATATATTCGAATCTACCACGATCTCGCTATCCTTCTTTTTTCTTTTCTATTAATTGGACCGCTCGAAAGATAGAGAGAGAGAAAGAGAGAGAGAGAGAGAGAGGTAGAGCGAGAGTTTTGGCGCCAACGAAAAATTTCCTCCCCTCCTTCGATCTCGCACAGAAACTCGTCGATTCGTCTCCTCTTCGATTCCTCCTTCCTCTTCTTCCTCTGGTGCCCTCTGGTGAACCTTTTTTTCACGCCTTCAGCATCCATCCACCCATGTTTCTTTCTTCTTCTTCTTCTTTCTTTTTTCAGGATACATTTTTTTTCACGGGATCGAGAATCGAGTAGAAAGCGGAAGATTGGGGAAAGGGAATGGGGGACGCGTCGCGGTGGATGCCGAAGTGGTCTCTCGATTTCTCAACCCTGGTGGGCGAACCTTGTTGTCGCGTACCTTCGATCCGGCGGTGTGCAGCAGCCTTGAGTGTGGTTGTGTGGTAGCCAGTGGCGTGTCCTTACGCGTATCTGTGCATCGAGTGCTCGCGGCGCTTGCTTCCTCTGCGCTCGCGCTCGCAAACTGGTTCCGGGCTCGGCGGGTTCGAGTACGTGAGATTACTGGATCCTCGTGGGGGTGGCGCGCTCATCGGGGGCGGGGGCGGGGGGAAGAAGCTCTGCAAGCACGCCTAATTCCAAACAACGAAACAGGGGGGGGAAAAATGAAAAGAAGATTTAACGATAAACCTCTAATCTTAACCTGTCTTAACCGTTATTTTACCTATATTATAATAGGTAACGATTGAACGTGGTACATCATTTTGCCCGCGTTATTATTATAATACGGTGATTGAATTTTATGCATGCGGGAAATTGTGACGATCAAATATTTGTTTTTTGAATGTATTATATATCAATTATATATTTAGAAGAATTTTTAAATTTTCGAATGGAAAAATGTATCGATAAAGAGAGAGTAAGATTCCCGATCGAGGATCATAATTTAAAGAACTCGCGAGCTTGAGAAAACTCGAGAGGTTTAAATCTTCCTTTTGTTTCGAGCGAATATCTCGACCGAGAATCTTTACGGAGTAAGATGCACTGGAAATGAACGGAGGATTCTTGGAATAGATCCGACCTACTTCTTTTTCATGGGTATTAGTGGAACGAAAAAATGTGTGCAACTGAATCGAGGATTTGGAATAGATCGAAAAAGTAAAGGGAGAAAAATCTGCGAGAGATATGGCTATATACAAGAATAATAACAAATTATCCCTCTTTACAATCTCGAAATTGGAACGAAGATAATTCAATAATTTCTCGAATGCAAAAAAAAATGATGTACCTCACGTCTTTGTCTTAAACTATACCAAACTGATAAAGCTCAACGTATACTTCGATATATAAAATGTTAAGATCGTGCGTTTACCTTCGCGCTACCCCTCGACGAAGACTTGGAGAAAACGCTGTCCTGATCGCTGCTCACACTAGGCACAGGCATTGGTACTGCGTAATCGTAGGTGGCATCTGTAATTAAAGAAAAAGAAAAAAAAAAAAAATTCGAAAATCATCAATCCACGAAATCGTTCGTTCGAATCTCTTCCGCTATAATAATTTCCGACAAGTGCGAACAATCATCATCGATCGCGCTTACCAGACTGCTCGACGTTGTCGTGAAGATCCTTGTTGTCTATAACGACGGTGCTATACCCGTAATAAGCGGCATGAGGCGGTTCCCTGTGCTTGTTCTCGTAGAATGGCTCCTGATACTCGTCCAGCCTCACGTCCCCCAACAGACGATCGTTCAGATCCCGTGGAAGCGTGGTCAGCTTGGTACCAGCGTATCGATCGTCCAACTCCTCCACCCTGTACGTCATCAACGATGGATCTTTCTCCGTTGTCCCGTATGCGGACTCGGGCGACAGGTGTTGATGATTGCTCGACGGGATCGCGGTCTTCGTACCCAGCGGGCTCGCGAAGTTCTTTCGTTGCCTGTGCCGCGTGATGATCAAGAAAATGGCCACTGCGAGCAGGAGGATCACCGCTGTTAAAACGCCGATGATCACGGCCATGTAATTCGAATCGTCTTGCTTCACGACTGGAACCTCGGCCTGCAAAGGATTGTCCCGCGCCGAGATTCGATCCCTTAGTCTCGGGGCTTCCGTCGTGGGCGGTGATTCCGGGGTGAAGTTCCCGTGAGCGATATCTGTGAGGAGAAAAGGGTAGTGCCTTCGTTCAAAATTTTTTTAAAAATTGGAAAGAAATTGGATTGAAAATGGACGAGAGACGATGAATGGGTAGAATTTATATATTTTTGTTAATGATATATAAATCATTAACAAAAATAATGGTAATGTTAATTATTAGTTTTTGATTAATGGGTTTGAATATTGGTAATTACCAGAGTCGAACGTGATCTCGCTGATCATGATCCACCTCGAGGCGAAGCCGAACCTCAGCTTAACGAACTTGCCGATTCGATGGTGCAGCTTGATCGATATGTTCCTCGAGTGCTCGAAGATCCTGTCCTCCATGTACGAGTACACGATCGGATCGCCCGTGTAATATTTGCCACCGACGCTGAACATTATGCTAGCCTCGGAGAACACCTGAACCGTGACAGAAAAAAACGCCCATATTTTTCTTTCTTTCTTTCTTCTCTTCTTTCCTCTTCCCCTATTTTCGAGAATCGAAATAAAAATGCTCTCGGTCAAGCATCAGTGAATATCTCGTTTCTTCGAGCGAAATGTAAATATAAAGGAATCTCTCGTCGCGATAAAAGGTCGCGAGAACTTATTCCATAATTCAGTAGAGAAACGAGGAGGATATCACGGTATACCGGCCAGGCATACTCGTAAATCGCGTTAACCGTGAAATATATAAAACAAGCCGTGGCCAAAGGTTGTTCCAGACGGTAAAATGAAGCCGCTTATTGTATAAGGTAAACGTGACGTAGTGGCCAATATTCAACATTAATTACACGTATAAATCAGCATCTTAAAAGGCTCTCGTTCCGCAGCACGGAGTTCCGGTATATTAACACGTACGTGTATCCAACGATTCCTCTTCCACGAATACACACCACGGTTTATCCACGGATATATAACGAGCAACTTTATAAGGGGCCAACCGCTCGGTTGACATCGACGACATCGATAATTACGAACCACCGCCCGCCTCTGCGCTAGCTCTGTCGCGGAGCGGAGACGCGTGGAATGCTAATTCCATACCGAGAAAGCGTAAGATAGTTAATACACGAGCGGAATGCCAGGCGGAAACCGAGGGAGGAAGGAAGGGAGAGGGATCGAGGCTGGTCGTGGAAACAGGTAGCCAGGACGACAGAGAGATACGGAGAGGGAGGAAAGTAGAAGAACAGAGGGGGATGAAGGGGGGAGAAGAGTAGAATACCGCGAAGGGCTTGGAAATGGAGATTACAAAGCTGAGATTATCTAACTCTCTTAGCCCCAAAGACGAACGCAGCAACGACGACGAGGATGCGTATGGATTTTCAAGGGAGTTCACCGTTCAACCAGCTCGTCGACGAACAGCCACGGCGGCTAAGATAGGGAGGGAGTGTGAGGAAGCCGAAGAAGACGAGCGTGGCGGCCACGAAACCGTGCGCAACCCGACTAAGGATGTATTCGAGGAACGCGAGAGAATGGAAGATGGACGAAGAGAGGGGGAGAGAGAGAGAGAGAGAGAAAGAGAGAAACTGGCGATGCTTTGAAGTGCTGTCTTTCAGAAGACGTGTCCTATCCGCGCGAGCGGGCGCTTGTTAATAGAAGGAGACGTTTAGGGGCGGTTGCTACCATCTCTCACCCCTTGCTCGCCCTCATACCTCGAGCGGTAGACTGCCGACTTGCCAGACTGTCGGTATTGTATTTGAATACGTGGCGTATCTGCTCTCCGGCTCGTTGCTCGCTCGTTGCATTGTGCGTACGAGAGAGAAAGAACAACCATCTCGATCGTCCCTCCTCGCCGTTTCTCAACTTTCCCTTCCCTTCTTCTTCCTTCTCTCTCTCTCTCTCTCTCTCTCTGTCTCTCTCTCTCTCTCTCTCTCGAACAAGAAGAAGAAGAAGAAGAAGAAGATTCCCTTCCTCGTTCGTGGCGATGCACCAGCAGCGTTTCTGCCGCCTTTGCCTTTCTTCGCCACCTCTTCGTGCCCTCCTCGTCGCGAGCGCGCGCACAATCGAGCCTCGGAGCCGGGTAATGAGGCGCTCCATTCAAATAAATCTTGATACCGGTAAGAAGAGCGTTTCGAGGCCTATTCCGTCGAGGCTCGGCCATCAACGGAAAACTTCCATTTTCGTGTCGTTTCGATCGTTGTCGTGGAGAGCGGAGAAGAGAGCACGCGAGGTATCACAGTTCTTTAGCACCCTCCTCCCTAGGCGATTATCCTCTTTGTTCGAGCGATCAAACTTGGGAATCCGAGTCAAAGGAGAACCTTCGTTTTAACCTTTCTCCATTTCCCTTCGAATCTCTGTCCCTTCGACCTCGCTTTTTCGAGGAGACACCCCTCTCGATCGCCAAGAGGCCTGAGGCCTCGGGTAATGAGGAGGGTGGTCTCCTCCATAGGAATAAATCTCGATACGGAGGACAGCAAGGTTGTTACATAGAAATTCGGCTCCACGAGAAATTCAATTGTCACCCGTTGGCCACTGTTGTTACCACCCTGTGTGTAAATTCGCGCTCCTCCTCGTTCTCTCTTTCTCCTCTCATCCTCCACCGACCGATCCAACACCAGGGCCAAGCGTTGTCGCGCCTCGTTACCCCATCCTACATCCGACCTTGACTCGAACGTGAAAACTGGATTTCACGCCTCTCGTCTTTTTATCCCTCTCGCCGCGTTTCCTCTTGAAGGCGAGGTTTTAAAGCAGGCGCTAGATCTTGCCGCGTATTCCGTCGCGATTGTCCATCCATCTACCCTCCTTTCTCGTCCTCGTCCTCATTTTCTCTCATCCGTCCAGCTCGGCTCTTGCTCCTCCTCCTCTCTTTCTCTCTCCTTCTCTCTCCTATTCCAGTGATCGTTTTCTAGTTTTCATCGCTATTTTTTCTTTTCTTTTCTTTTTTTTTTTCGTGCACCCTTTCTGTATCGCAGTCCTGCTCACGTTGCCGAGTCACCGCCGCGGGCCCTTCCAATTTCCTCCCTGTCGTGCTCGTATCTATCTATCTATCTCTCTTCCTCTTTTTTTCACGCGTTTTCGCGGATATTCGGTGAACGATCATAGAGGAAATTTGAAAATAACGCGACCGGGCTTTCGTTCAAAGAGATGGCCGGTAAGGGGATTACGGGATGGAAATTCGCAGGGTAGGAGATATATCGAGAACGAATCAAAATATTAAAATTTAAAGCGGATGGATCGAAACGGAGTTCCCTTCCTTCTGCTTCCTCTTCCATGTTATTTTTATTCTTTTTGAAAGAGAGAGAATGTAGGATTTATTACACGGGATTGTTTGACGAAATAACGAGGACGAGGAATATCACGTGATATGAAAGCGCTACCGGCGCGAGCCAACAGTCGACGAGGAGCGTGACTTTCGCTCTGCATGTTGTAGAACGTTGTAAATACGTGACTGTTCTCCGGGCCAAAAATCTGGCCGGAGGGTTTGTTCGTGGGGATACGAAGATCACGACCCGCAAACGTTGGGGAAGGCTCTGGTTTCCCTTACCGTCTCTTCCTTTTGCCTTCCGAGAGACGTCGAAATCACGACACCGTTGCGATTCACCACGGTTAACGCGCCCTCAAAAATCGTCCGATTCGATCGATAAATTCGTTTCACTCGAATTTATAGTATGTGTATCTTCACTATAAATATCACTCGGATCATACCTTTCGTATAATTAATTTAATTTTTATTATAGATAGAAACCAATCTGACTTACGTCGATTTGAACTCAAATCATGTAAGATTTTAAGAGTCGAACTCAAAATTTAAACTACTGGGATTATTTAATTTCGAATAATTGATTTTCGTAGTTAATTTTGAAATAAATACTAGCAATCTCGAATAATCGATAATTATCTTCTTGATATTCCTATCTCTGACGCGAATGAAAGTAAAATTATTCATTTCACAGATCCCCCCACAAAAGTTGCTTACCTGGACATCCTTGGTGAACTGATTGTTGCAGAATATGTGCACGGCCGAGAACTCCCTCACGTGGTCGAACTCGAACTTGATCTCGAGCGGATGGCCTGACCTGGTGTCGTTCCTCCACCCGACCCATCCCTGACCCCTGTCGTAATCGTAGTAGCTCATCTTGAAGTTGTCGGGCCCGATCTTGCCGTCCGTCAACTGTCCCAGTCCGCGCAGAAGCTGGCCGTCCCAGTAACCGTCGTACGTGGCGTCGAAGAACTCCCAGTTGCCGCGTTTGTCGCCCTGGGGCATCGAGTACGACACGATACCGTCGTTCCACGGGCAACCGTACAGTTCCACCCGCATGCAAACGGTGCGACGATGGTAGCTGTAAGGCCAGAAGCGGACTTTGCTCGCCCACATGGGTGGCTCCAGCTCGTGCTTCGACTCCAGGTACGTGTTCTTGTTCCCGTCGATCACCTGTCGCACCACCCATTCACACCTCCGTTAAATATTTCCACATATTTTCCATATATTTATATGGAAACGATTATTATTTGAAACCAAACGCTTAAAACGTCTTAATAAATTCAAATCATCAATTATTAATTCTTTGATAAAGGCACCATTGTATCGTTCCATCACGATAATTAAAGATAGCCCGTCAAATCATTCGTGGAAATTTCTATATATATATATATATCTTTATCAACGTGGAGGATCGTTATTAACACTTGACGTGAAACTCGCTCGAGGTCACATGTTTTGAATAATTCATAGAAGAAGGTATCCGGGGGTCCACGTATACTTGGAATTACGACTCGGTATCATTAAAATACCATAAACTATCGGCCTGATCGCATCGATAATGCACGACGATTCGAGCATAATGTGCGTAATACACCTGTCGGGGTCAGGGCGAGGCACGGTCACGTGAGCGGGCATACGTGAGAATCTCGCGTGGAGGAGTCGAGTGGCGCTGTCAAGTCCGGTAAGTGGAAAATAAGAGGTGCTTTGTTTCGAAAGGGACGACCCTCGACGATGCTGCACCGGGAATTTCTCGATCCCCAGCCGCGATACAGCGGCCCGGCCCGGCTCTCGTGGAATAGAACGCGCCTTGTTCCCTCTGAGAACGCGTGAAACGAGAAATCGCGGCGGCCAGGAACGCCCACGACATTTCTACCGGCGTTCCTCGAACCGCTTCAACCAAAGAAGAAATTCTTTGGTTGAAGCGAGAGATTTTTCCAATTTCGTTTCTTCCTGTCTTGTTAATCTTAAAAATTAGAATTTTTAAATGTTAGAAATATTTTCTTCGCGTAAGAAGAAATAATTTTCTTTCTCTTAGAAAGAATTTCTAACTTTTTTTTATGTGTTATTAAGTAAATATTAAAATTAGAATTTTGGGTTGTTTCAATTTAGATCGCGCGAAGAAATAAAGAAAGTGTAAGAAGATCCATTTTCTAAACTCCATTGTTTGAGAGAAGAAAAGAAACGAATCTTCCAATCGTTTACAATTTTCCCCACTGTTGCCTTTCAAGCATTTGTTCGAAAAAAAAATAACACGTCCATTCTCCAAAATACGCTTCCCAATAACGTAAATTAAAATATAATTAAGAAAGGGAAGAAAAAGAATCGCAATGTTGGTGGTAGAAACTTGAAACAGCGGACACGTTTCTCGAAACGGGAAACGTGTCAAGTTTTCCCTGCAACGAGTGCAGTTTTCCCGATCGGGTGCCAAGCGGGTTCCGCGACGGCTGTGGAAGAAGGAAACGGCGATTAAAAGATGATGGCCGTCCGCGGTGTCCGGTAATTAGTTGACACCGTTTTATTCGCGCTCGTTATTCCCTCGGGCGATTTCCCGGCTGATGTTCGCCGCATCGAAGCGAAATACAATGAGCCGACACGCGTGAAATTCCGGCTGGCGTCGCGCCGTGGACACAACGTTTCGCTTCGGCTTCGTTACAGCCGGCTTAATGAGCGCGCCGCGCTCGTTAAGGGGGCCGAAATACGCGGCTGTAAACGGAACGCTTCTGAAAGAAGTCTGATTCAACGATACGGAGAAAAGGGAAAAAAGAAAGGAGGGTCGGTGATATTTTAGTTAAACCGGACGTTTTTGCGCCTCGTTGAGAGTGGCGTGGGGTAAATAACGATGATTTTTATTCCTATCGCGAGATCGGTAAATGGTCCGATTTTTTTTCTCTTTTTTTTTCATTCCTGCCACGAAATGGAAATTATTAGGGGATAATAAAGATATTTCGAGGACGAGCTTTATAGTGCTTTATAGATAGAAAGATAAATTTGACACGAGGGACGTGCATACATTCGTGTATAATAAAATACAAGTTTTCGTTCCACGCCATTGCAAGATTGGTAAACAGTCGAATTTTTTCCCTCTTCGTTTGTGAAATAATAAAGGTATCTCGAGGACTCTCTAAGACTTCAGCCTGCATAGGGGAAAGATAAATTTATCAACTGATAAGAGGAACACGCGTGTTTATATCTCCGCCAAGTACGATTTCTCGTTGAAAACGACGAGAATGAATAAAACAACACGTTTTACATCTACGGTATTGCAAGATCGACGACTTCTAAGTTTTCTGTGAACACGCATCTAGGAAAAGAGAAATAACGTGTTGAAATAAAGATATTTCGAGCTTGGAGGATAAATTTAATAACCCGGAATAAAAGAGGCCGGGGCAGGCAAGTTACTCCTCGCTATTTGTACTTCGCCAACCAACAAAGTAACGCATCACGAAACGATAGATAAGATAAGCTCCGCTTCCTTGCCTTGCATCAAAGCGAAAACGAAGGAAGAAGGTTGCTCGCGTTAAACGATTCGATAACGCGGCTTGTATAAATCGGCATCGACCGATCGTGACGAGCGCGCGATCAAAGGCGTTCCTCCTCTCGCCGCCTTTAATCGAGAAAGGGACGCCACAAATTTCCATCTCGTTCCGAGAAAAGCCGCGGGGACCAAAAGGCGACGACGGCGAAAATACGACGGCATTTACGAGCCGTCGACTCGTCCACCACCGCGGGAAAAAGAAGAATAAGTAATCTCGATATTTATTCCGCGCGCGCCCACGCCTCCGCCCGAAAGACGTTTCCATCTCTCGTTCTTCGTTTTTAAGAGAGAGGGGCAAGGGGAAGTGAAGGGAGAAAAATTCGGTTCCAAATCCGTTTTAGCGGCACTTTCGCTCGTGGACAAATTCCAAGCCGGGACCGTGGGGCAGAGATTGGTAGGGCGTGGCGCACCACCAACGCCCATTTTATGTTAATGTTTTCCGCGCCTCTTCGTCCCGAATCGTCAGCGATCACCCGCCGAACAGAAGCCGCGTTGATGGCCCCGTGTCGTCGACAAAGATCGTGACGGATAAGCTGTCTGACGGTTTAATTAGACGGATATATTAGACGCGACGGGTGGTCCACCGAATCGGTGGGCCGAGAATTTTCCAACATGTGCTCGCGAAACAAAAGTTTTCGAATCGAGTGTGCTAAGTGAAAAAAAAAAAAAAGGAGAAAGTTTTCGTCTCTTATCGCGTGGAACGATGTGGAAAAAGAAAAAAATCATTGACAAATCGTGACATCGCGTGAATTTCTAATATGAAATAATTACTTAAGTTTAAGTTTAATTAAGTTTGAAAAAGGACAGAAATTGATAATTTATAACGATTCAAATTAAAATAAATGTTTTGAGATTATAAAATTGAATAAATTTAAATAAATTTACAGAATATTTCTCAACTATTGAAATATGACCGATCAATTATCGATTGGTTGTCTGCATACGCGTATTTAATCTGTAAACGTTTAAAAAGAGGATTTAAAATTTGAAGCAATTATACATTTTATACATTTGAAAACGAATTTTGGCCCGATGGATCTGTTGTGTGGAATACGAGAGAGAAGATTCGATAATATTTTTATATTTTTCCAAACCTGATGAACTCTATCTCTATTTTTTTTCCTTTTCCTTTTCGATCCTCTTCTCTTCGTTAAGCGTAATGTTTATAGATAAGAGGGAGAGGTCAAAATAGACTTATCAAAGTTCTTCTCCTGTGATCTTTATACAAACGTAAGTATACTTACATTGAGAATATCTGGCTGGTTTGATATTAATTGCGGAAGATAAGAAGAAACTTGAAACGCGTGTGTGTACGTGTAAGAACGTCTTTGTTCCTTTCACGAAGATCTACAAGCCCGCATCAATATTTTCTAATATACAAGAGCTACGAATATTCAGACCTTTAATCCTATTAATCCTCAAACTCGAGATAATGCTTCTTGGTACATTGAGACGAGATAGAGTCGAAACTCTCTTTGTGACTCATTGCGAAAGAACTCGTTCCTGCTAACAATTTTTCACAGCCGTCTCTCATCCTCTTCGGATGAACCTAGGCTTCGATTAATCCAAATAATCGAGACGTACAATCGCGTTATACGTTGCAACCATATTATACCATTATTAATACTAATATTAATAAGTTTAAAATCATCTTCCAACTTTCCTTCCAGTTCCTCTCACAATCCAGAACGATCATCCAGAAAACTTCAAACTTCAAAATTTATATACTGTGTCCCTGGAATAGAATAGAACGGGATATAGCGGCAAAATTACGATACAATACTTACCGATTAGCTCATTGTCATTGCTAAAAGCCGAGGGGATTTTTTGCGCGAGAGGGACGACAACGAGATAATTTATACGAGGTATATCGCGCCAAATACGGTCGTTGAAAAATATTAGACGCGTCCCACTCGCCTTTTTCGCCTTCTTTTTTCTCTCCTTCCCCCCTCCCTCTCCCGACTGCGAAGCGGTCGGAGAGAAGCCGTTGACAACCGCACGCCACGTACCACCGAGGTTGGCTCGGTCCGCAGGCCGAGCTGTTACGAGAGATTATTCGTCGGATAAGCCGAGTGTCGTTGTGTAATTAAGCGGGGAACAGAGCCTCGCAGCGGGAAGGAGGAGGAAGAGAAAGAGACACGAATTTCTGCAGATTTATCCCCGCTAACCACGCGGTGTATTCGTTCGTTCGTTCGTTGGGTGGGCCGTTTCGTTTCGTTTCCGCTCGCCTGTAACCACCTCGTCCCTCTCCCTCTTTCTCTCCACTCTCGCGCCACTTTTTCCCACACGGTTCCACGAAGAATGGGCCATCGCCGATACGAGGGAATCTCCATTTCCTTTCGCTTTTTTCGACCGGTCCGCGAACGCCTCGGTCTCGGTTAATTAAATCGGTTTATGGCCGGGATTGGACGAAACAGGGAATCAGCGGGGGACCGGTCAACCTTTTCGACGACCCGGTAATTTATGAGCGATCATTGGCGGGATGTAAATGAATCGAGAAAAAAGTTGATAAGAATGGAGATATTCGTTGGACTCGTTTAATTATTAAAATAAATTTATTGGCAAACAGCGCGATCGTGTTTTGTTCGTGTCGTCTTACTCTTCGTGAATTTTTTTTCTCTTTTTTTTAGAATATTTCGATCACTCGCGATATACGATTGGTAATTGAAAAAGAAACTTAGCTACTAATTATCGATGCATGAACTCTCTATTATTTTTAGTTTCTATTCGTCTCTTGTCAATAAATATATTTCGTCATTTTGAATAATTATTATTATTAATCAATTAGCATTCTCAATTAAATACGAAACGAAAAAGTTATCATTGATATTAAAAATATCAAAAGTTTTAATAGTATGATGGAGTAGGTGCATACATAATTCGGTCTCTTGGCGATTCCCTGATCATCGATCGACACGAAAATACGATTACCACGGAACAAAAGATCGCTTTAACGTTAAATCTATTATTATTATTCGAGAGAATGGAAAAGTTGAAGGAACGAAACTTCCAACGCGGCAATTTTTCGTGCACTTTCACTTCCTTTTTTGCCAACGCCTCAACTGTTTAACAAGCGAAGGGAACTGCGTGCCGGCACAACTTCTTCTCCCTGGGAGAAATATTTTCGGTGGCGCGGGGTTATTTCGCATGTAAAATGGAATAAGGGCGGTTAAATTTCGACCTTCGTGCGATGCACACGGCGTGGGTTCGATCGAGGTGAGGCTATTCGAGCCAAACGCGCGTCTATGTAGGTGAGTCGAAATCGTCTGACCCGCGAGCAAGCAAGCACGCGACGACTTTCCCTTCCCTCGTTTTATTGATCCACCCTCCTATACAAATAAGCTCCAACCACCCTCTCCACGTATATACCAAAACTTCCAAGGAAATCCACCTCGACTGGACGTTCACCTCTTTCTCTTCCTTTTTTCGTTCTTTTTTATTTTTCCTTCCTTCCTTCCTTCCTTTCTTTCCTCCTTTCTTCGTCCCTTTCTTTTTTCGTTTCACCCTTCAACGCTGTTCTCGGGAATCACGATCCTTCCACGCTCAGGTGGTAGTGTATAAATGTCCCTGTCGCGAATAAAACAAGAACACGCGGATCGAAAATAACGTTATCGTCGACAGGGCGAAATGACTTATATTGGTTCCCGCGTCGCTCTTCGGAACAAATATCACGAAATGGAGGAAGAAGTTGTTTGGGACGTCGAGGCTCTCTTATTTTCCACCGATTTTTCCACGGACAATGACGAATCGTATTGAAAAACAATCTCGGACGCGATTCGTATATTCAATTTCTTCGATTCTTTTTTCTTAATTTTCAACGGATTCCTTCGATAACTGTAATAAAATTATACGCAATTCGTGGAAGAATAACCCGTTGAAAAAGTAAAGTCTGGTTAAAAATCTCGAGTAAAGTTACTTTAAGTAATTACTTGTTAAAATGCTTAAATGATATTTATTCGTAGCTATTACGACGTCGCTTATAATCTCGGCCGTTTGACAATTATTCGCAATTATTATTATGTTTCGAACGATAAATTATCGAAATAAAATTCAAACTATTAAATTTTGCCCATCACTGCTGGATTTTTAATACGATGAATTATCATTAATATTCGAGGCAAATCTCTTTTTAATAATATGTTGTGTCGTATACTTCATGACGAGCACAGCTTTTAATTTAATTTTCGTGAAATTTTTTTCGTACTCGACGAACATAATTATCCATAAGCAGAAATATGGGCATTAAACCCATGAAAAAGTAACTAATTTCAAAATTTTCCAAACTTATATCCATTAAATAATTTTCATCCATTACTATTCATACCACTTGTCGTATCAAAGTATTTTTCCTTGAATAACGAATTTGATTACAACTAAACTTAATTTCCCTCCAGTCGTGCAATAAAAATTACTAAAAATGATACTAAAAACTATATAAATATACGGAGACCCGTCTCGTTTTACCACACACACACACACACACACAGCAAAGTTATAACGCCCACGTCAACGGGCGGAATGCCTCGTACACGCGAGGGACAGTTCATTCATCGACGTCAACCCGCTCCTTCTCCGCTCCTCTCCGCTCCGCGAAAGTCGCGAGATTCTCGGTCTTCGAGTAACGAAGACCAATCCTGTGTATTCTCCGGAATAATAACAAATGGATCTCCATTGTTGGGTGTCGCTAATTAAAGTGGGTACCGAATCTATTCCAGTCGAATCATCATCGAAGAAACTTGCCACTTTTCGAGGGAGAATCACCGTGATTCATCGTCTCGTTAACATCACTGGTTTGGTTTTTACCGGTCCGGATCCGCGCCGTGGACAACCGCCACAAATCATCCCCGATAATCCACGCTCTAAATTTAACCGCCGCGATTCCGCTTACGCGCGCGCGCGCAATTCTGCCGAATTGTCGCGACCTGTTAATCGAATTGTGAATTAGTATAATATCGAGTATCGATTGGAATTTTTGTTTTCTCTTACTCGAACTTGTTATATATTGTGAAATGTAAGATGAATAAAAGTGAGACTCGAGTTGATTATATTAATTTTTGGATAAGGTCTTGTTTATTATATATCTTGATAATAACTTTTGATAAAGAAGAAAAAAGTGGAATTTTAATCGATCGATAATTAATCTAGCCTCGTGAAAGCGGTATCGATCGTTGACCGACCCCTTCTCCCTCGTACTCCGTCTTTCCTCGTAGAGGAAATCCTTCGAACGTTGCAGGGCATCGAGACGATGTGAAATATCGTGTTCGAAGATGAACGGAATTCAGTACGCTGACAATAAGAGACTTTGCGTGATTGGTTTGACAGCGGACGTCATCCTGCTTTCGAAACCTAAACCTCCTACCTTCTAGACGTTGAACAGATCATGGATCATGGAGACAGAAACGATAAAGATAATAATAAACGTTTGGACGTCTGATAGATAGACTCAACAATTCGTTCTCGTTAAAGGTAAACTGTTAATACGAGATTAATAAGTATTTACGTCTGATACGGAAGATATCGTCGAAAGATATTCGATCGTTCTTTAAAATTAGAATTGAAAAAATTGTTGGTTACGCGTTTAGTCTTTTTCGACGAAAAGTTGAAGGATGCGAAAAATTTTTGTTTGTGAATTAGTGGGAAAAAAAAAACTAAAACGAATCGACTGCAACTAATTTCCAACTTTCAACTTTTTTCGACGACCGTCTCGAAAAAAGAGAAGGGAGGGGAGGAAGAGAAAAGCTGTTTCTCGAGTTCGAGAGACACTTTCCTTTTCCCTTACTTTCCTACTATACTATAGTTTCTCCAGTAGAAAGCGCAATCGCGATCAATTATCGCGACACGTTTGAAACGGCGCGATTTTAATACTCACCTCCTCGCCCCGCACGTCCCTGTACCGGACCCACTTGCCGAGCTTCGGCCTCCAATACTCGAGCATATACGCCTCCGAGTATTCGACACCTTGGCCGTTGCCAAAGCGGCCCTGAGTGCCTGTGGCGGTGATCATGTGGACCGTGTGAAGATCGATTTCCAACCACTCGCGTGGCTCTGTGGTGATCTGCAGCTTCGGGCACCAGGCACCTCCGTGGCTCTCTTGCTTCAGCCTGTAAAGGGTAAATATTTACACTGAGATTACCGGTCTTCTTTATTTCTTCTCTCGTTTTTTTTTTCTTTTCCTTTTTTTTTCACCCCCCTCTCTCCCCAGTTTTATCTCTCTGTTTCCACATTCCTGTTCCCTCGGAGGTAGAATTTTTTTTCCCCATCTTTTTTTTTCCTTTTTCTTTTTTTTTTTTTTTTTTTTTTTTTATCCCTCGTCATCCGGGGAAAACGAGAACGCCGGTGAATCATTTCCAAGGGATCAAACCGAGCCTCGTCGTAGGGAAACGTGGAGATTTTTTTCTGGGTCTCATTGGGAATTTCGACGCGTAACTTAATTTCCACGCGTTCGCGAATCTGGTGGCTCGCTGTGTGCGTACACACGGTGGAACGACGTTCGAGTGTTTAAATGGCGTAAGTGATATTTGAACGATATTTGTACGGGGCGCTTGCAGGGTTTTAATCTTTCTCCTTTTTCCTCCCCAACGACAATTGCGCGGGGATTTTCCTGTTTCACGGGGACGAAGATGTATGCGGTTACGTAAAATGGATGATGACGTGTATAAAATATCGCCAAACTGTTGATTCTTTCCTTACCTAATTTATCGCGTTGCAATTCATCTACCTCTCGATTCGCAATCTAAAAGTCTCGTTCGAAAAATTGTCGAAAAAAAAAGTCGAAATTCTTCTCGTTCCTTCTCTTTCAAAATCCCCCCCTCCCTCCTTTTCAGATTCGTCTAAAATTTTATCGCACGTTTCACGTTATATATATATATATACAGAAACATTATTATATTCACCACGTTTCCTTGCCTCGCCTTGCGAGAATCTCGCAAAGTCGACAATTACTTATCGACTTATCCCATCGTATTCACGGCGCCTTTTCGTCGCGGGATCCGCGCACAATCGTGGGACGGACGTTGCGATCGACGTGGACAATCGATAAGGATCGAGCGATAAGGCGGCTCGTAAAGGAGGAGGATGACGGTATAATCGGAAATGTTACATGGTCGCGGGAAAGGAAATCGTATAAATACGTGATCCTGGCGGTGGCTGACGGATAACCGTCACCTCTGCCCGGCCCCCGATACCGTGGGAGGGGGAGGGGGTGAAATTATAATTTATCGATCGAGCCGAGCCACCGGATGGCATGAATTAAAGATGAGCTGGCACCGGCGCTGCCGTGCAACGGGGAAGCCACTCTTCGAGAGCCGGCTAATAATTGTATTCGCGCATAGCTTCCGTCTACGGCATTAAAAACCTCCCTCTCTCTCCCCCTCTCTCTCTTTCTCTCTCTCTTTCTCCTCTCCCCATTTCCACGTCGGGCATCGCCTCTCTGATTGTCGCGGAAAACGCGCGAGAGGAATGCCGGCGTCGATCCGACGGGGAAATCGACAGGAATTCACCGATGTTCGAATTCAATCGGACGATTAAACGGCGCTTCAATCGGCCATTACTGTGCCGTTATTTATTTGCCATTTCGCGTACGCGAGGAGACGAATTTGAAACGTTTGAAATTTGTGGAATTTTAATTTGGGAATGGAAATTTTGTAAAAAAAGAGAAAAGAGAAAAGAAAGGGTAGATTTAATGGATCTTGAGGAAATTGATTGAAATATATTTGTAAGTAATTTTTGGTGAAATGAGAAGGAGGAAGAAGAACGATTTATGAAAAATTCGTTTCGTAAATATTACGCTTTGCACTATTTATTCTCGTTAATTAAAATAAGCGTGAGAAATTTTGTTTCTCCAAGAATTCCCTGTTAATTGGCTCGCGTTAGCTTTACTTTAGTTATGGAAAGAGAGTCGTGCTGCGTCAACAATTCTTAATATGTTCGCAAAACATTTTCATTTTCTATTTTCGTGGGATCACATTTCTCCCTTCTCTGTTCTTTCTTTACGTTTCTACTTTGGAGATTACCTTAGAAAATAAACGTTTGAAGTAATCCTCATACAAAAAGAAAAAAAACTTGCAAAACAAATTCTCGCCGATAAATTAAACACCGTTTCATCCAAAGATCTCTGCATCTCCCGACTGTTTCTCCTATGAAAAGAGTGGATAGAAACAAGGTCCACTCTTCAAACGGCCGACGCACAATCCAAACCCTCTCCCAAAACCGAACTTCCCGTGTTTCACCTTTGACGCGAGCAACAAACACGCCCTCGCCTAGTCACTTTGTTGAAACTCAATTTCAACAATAAAAAAAAAAAAAAACCGAGAATTCGGCTTGCCTTCCCTCCCTCCCATCCAAGATTACTTTCGAACAGCGCCGCCTCCTCCCTTCTCCCCCCGAAACTCGCAAAAAGAAGCCGCCGCCAGTTCAGTTTGCACGAACGAGAAGGAACGAGAAAGAGGTGAACTGGAGGGTAGGCCGTGGTTATATACAATCTTCTGCAAAATATTCGCAATAAAGAGGTGAGCTGCCACTCCTCTCTCTTTCTCTCTCTCTCTCTCTCTCTCTCTCTCTCTCCCTGTCAGAATTTTAAGCGTCGCTTTTGACGGCGGGTAAAAGAGCCCGCGTCGTGTCCCTCTCGAACGAAGAGGAACGCTCCTCTCCAGAAGAGAAGCAGAAGGAACGCTACGGTTTCGTCGAGGAGAGACAAGGATACACCGGTGTTGGATCGAAAGAGAAATGGAGAGAGCAGCGTTTCGAGAGCAGCGAAACGCCATAACTCATAGCCCATTAAGTGAGCTCGAACTGGGTTGGCTGCCACTTTGATACAGTCCAGGGCATCAAAGGCATTCCGCGGCTCGCGCGCGCCCTCCGCGATAAATCTCGAGCGGGGCGAGCGATTGCGCGGGCCGAGCCACGTCGGCGAAATCGTGGAGGAGAGCGACGCTACTACGGGCTCGATTATCGAGAAGAATGGTTTCTCGAACGCGAGCCAACTCGAGGAGGAGGAGGAGGAGGAGGAAGCTCGAGGACTTACGGGGATGATTTGTTGCGGACGTGAACGAGCTTCCGATGGATAGGCGAGGAACCGTGGCGCGATATGTCGCTTCCTTCGTGAGATGTTGCTCGCTTCCTCGATGAAAACGTGTTCCTTCCGTGGAAACGGGGTGGATCTGGAGGAACGCGCGCGAAGACGAACGACTGCGCGAGCCGTAGAACCTCTTTTATTTACACGCGCTCCGTTCTTTTTTAGACAGGTCTTCTTCTTTTCCCGTTGTTCGCCCGTTGGCCAGAAGAATCTTTCCTTTCCCTTGTGCGTGCGTGTGAAATAGAGTTTCCGGTTTTCGAGGGAGAGGAAGGAAGAAAATTGTAAATTTGATTTACGTTTGTCACGTTTGTTGAATTAATTAAAAATGATCGTACGGTGGATCATGTTTGTATTCAAGGATATACACGCGCGTCGCGTGTGAATATTTCAAAGACCGACTTTGTCCAAATAGTCTTGAATTTTTAACAACGATGTTACAACGAATAATTGCAACGGAATAAAATTATATTATTGTCCATCTAATATTCTCAATAAGTTGAATTTGGAATTCGGTAAGAGTTCGTACTGGAGGGGATGAAATATGGGGATGGAAGAATCTTTTGTACGAAACGAATACGTTTCACGAGGGATATCTCGAGAAAGAGCTGTGTACACGTAATACGAGTTAGATTCGCGTATTTTAGGGTAAACGGGAGTCGTATGGGGTAAATAGGGTATTCACCGGGAAGCCCGTAGTATCAGGAAGCCATGGAAATGCCGTTGAAGAAGGTCTAGACGGTCTCCACCGGGTAAAGAGTGTGTGCACAAGCGACGATATCGGTATTGCATCGAAAAGGCTTTCCTTGCTTTATATCGCGGCCGAGAAAAAAAGAAAAAGAGCAAGTAAGAATAAAAGAGGAGGGAGGGGGGAAAGGAAACAACAGAGAAGAAACGATATCTTTTTCCTTTCTTTACCTTCTTCTTCTTACACACGTTAAACTTCCAATTATCGTGGCTGCATTAATGTGGCAGCTTTTCAACGAAATTCCATAGGACCATAAACATGTTCACGCCTCTTCGCGTCTCTCTGAATAACGGCACGGTGACGTTCAAAATGCCAGGGACCACCCATCGCTATCAAAGAAGTTCGTAAATGTCATCCGTGTTAATAAAATATTTCTTCCGTGAATGGGACGCGTGTAAAACAAACAAAACTAGCGAACTCCTCTTCTTCCTTTTTTTTTTTCTTGTTTGGAAGAATCCGATTTTTCGTCGCTTTTATACGGGGAGGGGATCTTATAGCCGTGTAATATTATATTTACGAACGTCGGTCGGATTGTATTCAATAACCGATTAAAAGATACGGAAATTTTTATTCTATTAATTCTTCGTTTCTCCATATTTACAATCGGAACAGAATAGATCTTATTTCTAGTTCAGTACATGTCTACGATCTTATAATCTTATATAAATTACTCTCGAATTAAAAATTTTTAACGTTAAGTTATTGCACGAATCTTAAAAGATATTTAAAGTTGTTCGAAGAGAAAGAAATATTCGCCCGATTCGCAAATTCTCGGCTCGTTAGCGTCGTCGGTGGTCCCATAAATCGGACCGTCCAGTCTACATCTGGTCAAAATTGGAATCCCCTGTTTTGGAACGGTGATTAGCCGAAACTCGTAATCAAAGGAATAAACGCAAAGGAGGCCGCGTTAACGATGGTTGAAGCGGTTCGTAACGTTCGACGCATGCGGGACATCGCGTCATTAATCCTCATTGCGGGTTGAAGGCCGAATGAGACGCGCGGTTCAGTGATTAATACGGTCGAGTCCTGATCGTGAGCCATCTCGATCGTGGACAGAGTGACGGACAGGAAGAAGATCATCCGTTTAAGCGGTAGAAAACATTTCGAATGAGATACGTTATCGTGGCGCACGTGATTCCTTTTCTCTTTTTTCGTCGTCGAATTCTCTCTCTTTCTCTCTCGCTCTCGCTCGCTCGTGCGTCGCGTTTTAAGCCATCCATCAAACCATCTCGTTTGATAAATCCTTCTCGTCCGGAAAAAAACGTTGCATTATTATCGTCTCGCTGGCGAATTTAATAACGTACGAATCCTTTGATTCGTTAAAATAAAAAAATTAAATGCCAAAAAAATATTACTATTATGGATGGACGAGATATTTTCTTTTTTTTTTATACACACGATGTTACACGATCGCGAGAACATGTACAAATATCGTAATACAATATACAAATAATAAATGGAAGATGAGAAGAAATTATACATCGCACATTGTGTCACATTATATTCGTATGAAATAAAGAAGAATAATTTACAACAGGAATATAGAATATTCTTTATCTCTCGTCTTCAAGAAGAAAAGAGAAAATTATTTACCTCGAATTTTCGAATTAAAATACTTCGTGTCGATGATGTAAATATATAAGCGAGATATCTCGCCAGCGAAAGGGTCAAGGATCCAATAAAATCGGTAACCCTTTCTCCCAGAAAAAACGTTGTAATTTCGTTTCACGATTTCTGCCAATTCACTGTTCATATATTTAACCTTCGCCCCTTGTTTGGACGCGCGAGGGTTGGAAGGAAAATAAACAGAGGGGGAGAGTGGAATTATTTTAAAAAAAAAAAAAAAAAGCGTCGTCGAAAGAAACGGCTGTATCTAGGTTAATCGTTCGGGGTAGGGGGGAAGAAAATAATTTTATTTCGCGAGATAGTAATAGGGCAATTCTAGCAGTGCGAGCGTAACGAGATCTTTCGCCCCTGCATAGAATCGCCACGAATTCAACCCCCGAATAGATCGGTTAACGAAGCGCACTGATTTCGGGAAATTGCATCTCTGCGCACGCCGTGCGCCCCTCACAAAGGGGGTTAATTTTATCATATTTCCGAATGTGTATTGCATCGAATCTGCATAATGCGCTCTATAAACGAGACGGTAATACACGGTTAATTCACTCACCGTCCGTGATGCGGACCGACGTTTCCGCTATCGAAACTCGAGCTCGCTGTGATGTCTGCATCGGGAATCGCACCAGATTCCATCCCCAGGGGCGCGATGCATTGTGCTGCAAACAAAGGAAATTGCTTTGATTATATACACGTTGTTATATTTCCGTATTCGTCCCTCGTCCACTTTCGCCCCGCGGTGGAGAGAGGAGGGGGGGGGGAGGGGGAGGCGCGCGCGATTACCACGCGAATCGAACGCTTTTAATCGTTTCGAACGATCGTGACGCAACGTTCAATCGAAGAACGCGAGCGTTCCCTCTTCTCTTGAAAAAATGATCAACACGTTGTAAAACCAGTTGTCCAATTTTCTTGAATATCTTGCTGAAGTTTTTTTTTATTTTTATTTTCGTTCTAATTTCCAGAAGAACTTGTTCTTTTTGCTCGTATTACGCGGAAATCCAGTTACAATGAAACTATTCCGTCAAAGAAGGAAAATTGACAATGGGCAAAAAGTGTAACGCAGCAGCTGAAACGCGAGGGGGTCGTTATGATAAATTGAACTCGGCGAGCGCGGCGTCGATTCATGTTCAAGAGAAGCCACTTGAAGCCAACCGACTTGGGATTAATAATAATAATCGACGATACTTCGTTCACGCGGAGAGAAATGTTATTTCGATATCTTTGAAAAAAGAAAAAAAAAAAGAAATGTAGAAAAAAACAAATCCTGAACTCCTCATCTCCATCACCCTTCCCTCCCCGTTGAAAATTAAATTTCCTTAATTCCCTTGATATTTTTCGCGCGAAATTTCGCAATTTATATTATCCTCTTTCCCCCTCCCCCCCTCTTTATTAACTTACACTACCAAACATTATCCCGCCAACTGACAGATTTTACGATCCCTTCGTATACATTCCCATTCGCGCCGTACCATCTGTTTTCGCCCGTTCTTCCATCGTCAGCCGATATCCGCGCTGTTTCGCGCCGTTATTTTCGTCCGGGCACGTTCATTACACGTTTTCAAACGAGCCCGCCGTTACGTGCTCGGATCGAAACGCGCGCACGATCGAGAAGAAAGGGAAGAAGAAGAAGAAGAAGAAGACGGGTCGTATTTTTCTCCCGATACGACGTTGGGCCCCCTCCCCCTCCCTCCCTCCTCCCGATAATTGCGATACAACGCGGCACGATACCGAGAAACCGCTTTTCAATCACGAGGTCCGAGGCGCGAGAAACATTTTCGACGATGCGAAATTACACGTTACGAACTGGTTCCGACTACGGCGCGCGAACACGCGACCGGATCGAGGCGTCGTCGACGCGCCAATAAAAACGACTAACCTTCTTCTCTCGTTCGAAACACGGCAGAGGAGGGGTAGGGGTAGGGGGGAGAAACGATCAAAGCGGGATCTGTTTACTCTAACGCGTGGAATCGGAGTTCTTGGGAATATACGGGGGATATAATAATACGGGAGTTTTAACGGGAAATGAAGAAACGGACAAACGCAATTCGCGGTGACAGATAAACCCGCGCGCGTCCAGGATTCGATTGAATTTTCGTTTAGCTCGTTTTTTATGAATATATATATATTTTAAAACGAAGAAGTTCTTTTTTTAATATTATTCGTCGCGTTTTTATTGTTTAAATTTCCGTCGTAAAATTTTAAAATTTACAAAATAATTTCTATTTTGGGTAACCAAGCAAATAATTAAATCTTTCATCAACTTCGATTCGAATTTATAAAATTGGTATCGTAACGTGTATACCTCTGTGATTTCTTTTGTACCGTTAATCGGGGCCGTATTAAATTTTAAAAATTCGAATTTAATTGGGAATAAATTTTATCCCGAACGTTTATATATTCATCACGGCTCACGTTGGTGGCCAAATAATGACAGCCGTTTGTCTCAGTTACTATCGTGACCGTTTGCCGGCCGGGGAGATCTTAAATTCACGAGCTCCGTCTGAGTACACAAACACCGTTCGAGGGGCTGTTCGAGGGTTTTAATTATTTGGAAGTGTCACGGGGTTAATTATAACGCGGTACCGCTTCGTGGAATTGGCGTTGAGGATGGTGAGAGATGTTTGTGCCGAAAGTGTGTTTAAAGAGAAAGAAGTGTTATTGTTACGGTGACGAAGATGTTTCTTTTGATTCCTCCTCTCTTTTTAATCTCCTCTCAGATAAATCTTTTTCCTGTTCGCGGAAAATACGTTACTTTTTTCGACGATTAATTTATGTTTGTTCCGCTCAAACAAAAGAAAAAATAAAGATTTATTCATTCAAATGTTCATTGAAAAGTATTTCTAAAGAAAAGTACATTATAATAATACAGTACATGACAAAATTAATCTATTATTTTCCTATTATCGAACCCTATAAACTTGAATACGCTTGAAATTTATTAATGGAATATTAAAAGTTTACGTTTACTCTTATCGCCCATTTCCCAAAAACTTCCTCACAAAATACACAATACGATTCATCGACGTGAAATTTATTCCTTCTTGGAATCCACGTTGACGATACGTTGGCAATAAAAGAACCGAACAGCGATGATATCTAAAAACCGAACTCTCGGCTTTCTCGATGAAAATATTTATCCGTTTTTCTCTATCGTTTTTCGTTATCATCTATCGAAGAAGAAAGTCCTGGAACGAGAAGCGAGAGCGCGGCTGGTTTTCCGCCACCGCCACGCCAGTTCCTAATTCGCTTGGCGAACTTTCCCCGTAAATAAATTTTTAACGAGATACACGCACGGTATTTCCGGGCACAAGTCGGCTCGGCCTCGCACGAGTTTTACGACTCGACGGCTGCTTATTCCCGGTAATTAACCGCTCTACACGGAGCCACTTGTTCCAGGGAGTTGAAGCGACCAGCGCCGCAACACCGTTTTTTGTCGTATGAAATTTCTTCGTCGCCGGTTTTTTCCCCGCCCCCCTTTCTTCCCTAATAACCCTCGCACGATACTCGGTCGGTCAGCCGCGATTTTACAACGAAACCCTTTCAACGTAATCGTTCTTACCTCGCCTCGAGCCTCGATAGAACGTTTTTCGCGAATTTATGATTCCTCTCTTCTTCTTCTTCTTCTTTTTCTCTCTCTCGGCGATATTCGCGAATTTCGACCAATAAAGTTGATTGCGTTTTTTTATTTTAAAAGGGATATATTTTTGTTGGAGAAGAAAGAAACGATGATAATGTTGCGCAAGTTTTAGAAAGACCATTAAGCAAATGGAGCGGGAGACAAGTTGAAGCCGAGCGGCGCGAGATTGATTGTTTAAACGGGTGAAAGAGGAGAGAAGGAACGTGGAGAGAAGGAGGGGGGTAGGTGTTTAAGAGAGTGATTAGAGGAAAGGCTTGTCGCCTCGGAAGAGTGACAGGAGAAAAGAAAACACTGGGGCGAGATTACGAGGACACGTTCGGAACAAACAGTCGCCAAGTCTTCGTAATTCAAGTGTGATTATAGTGAAAATAAAACGTGAGATTGGACAGACCACTTGTCCCTCGTGGCCTCGTGACTCCCCCTCTACTTTTATTCCTTCACTGAAATTCCACTTCTCTTATTTCGATCCTTGACTAATGTTTCCGTGGTTCGACCCTATTTTTTTTTCCAAACTTCACATTATAAAAAATGTGGACAGCAAAGGAGACGTTTTTCGTGTTTATCGTATCGTTAAAGATGGTAAGTATTTAAGATTCAACAAAAAATCATCCCTTGGTCGAGAAGAGAGGTCGAATAAAACAAATCGATCGACGTAATCTCAAACGATTACGATCATTTACACGCCGATATCTCTACCCCTTATTCGCCCCTTACGATCCCGCAGGAACAACGAAGGGACTGTTGACGATCGGTGGTGGGTCGGATTCGATCCCCGTATTTATAGACATCCTGGAAAAGAGCAGAGTGAAACGAGAAAAGAGGAGGAGGAGGAGGAGGAGGAGGAGGAAGAAGAAGAATAAGAAGAAGTAGTGGTAGTAAGTTATGCGACGTTTGGCCCGCCCCAGCCACTCATTCGGCGACCATAACTCTCCCGGAGTGACAGCTCCGAACGGAAGGGTGTGTTGCCGCCCCTCCGCCCGCGAGAACAGGGAAATTGAATGCCTTCTCGCAACCCCTCCTCGAGACTTCTCTCTGCACCCGCCATCTGCTCCTCCTCCCTCCCTTAACACCGTCACTGTCAAATTGATAACCGCTTCTTTCTTGGACGAAAGTCCTCCTCCTCCTCCAGTGGAACTGTCAGCTTCAAGTCGGGGAAACTCGTCCCTCGATACCCTCCAGGGCGGAGGAGGTATTATCTCTCGACTCGATTTCGACGATTTTTAAATAATTTGCAAGAGTTTGGGCGAGGAAACAAGAGCAAGCAAGGGAAATCCGCGTTAGGAATCCGCGAGGATTTGTCGCCTCGCCCCGCGAATATTTAAGCGAATTAGAGGATGGATTTTCCTTTACGAGGAAAGAAACGGGAAAGGAGATCGGCCGAAAGCCAAGCAGATTTTCTATCTCGGACGGATTTAATAATTCCACCTCGGCTCGCCTTTGTTAACTCTACAATTATTATTAATGACGATGTACGAGAGAGGGTCGCGGTCTGGCCAAGCCGCTGTTCATCCTCTCATCTCCCTCCCTCTCTGTTTGTCTCTTTCTCTCTCTCTCTCTCTCTTCTTCCCTTTCCACCACTATGGGCGTGAATGTAAATTAATTATTCCCCGGGTGTTTTCGTGAAAAACATATTAAACGCCCTACCTTATTACGGCCACGATATTACGGCATAAATCACGATTCACTTACGGATTACTATTTTTCATATGGAAGGGCAAACTCCCCTCCGGATTAATCGAAATCCGGAAAAATCTCCGCCGAATTAAATCCTCCATAACCGGATAACCGTTAATGGATTCCTCATCCGTGGAGAATTTGCTCCGTTCTTCGCCGAATTTCTTTGTCTTTGTACACTGCAAAATACGCGTCTATAAAAATACGATATCTATAAAAATTTCAAAAGCGAAATAATCCCTAATCTCGCTCGTTAAAAATTTTAAAAATGTCTTTGACGAAGAATCGCGGGAGAAACACTGGCGAACGACGAAAATAAAAAGAAGGAACGGTAATTGCTGTATTATG